GGTGTATTTCCTCATCTATTCATTCACTGGTCAAGGACTCCAATTGCTTTTCAGTTTTTCCTATTTGTTTCTTGGCTAGTCTCCAGTTCGCAGCCGTTATTTGCGTCGTCACATAACGCTTCTCCCCACGGCTGCGAAGGAGACTAGTTTTTGGCTTGAGAATGTTCTTATTTTAAAAATTGTCCTTTTAGAGTTAAGGGGTTAAAATAAATTTTTACTATAGGACTGGGACATTTGCATGTCTGCTTGTGTTGTAAAAGACAATAAAACCTGCAGGCAGGGCTCCAAGAAGGAAATTTAAATGCTGAGGGCAAGCGAAATAAATAAAATAGGAAATGAAAATAATTAATGAGCAGGGGAAAGGCGATGATTCAGTCAAGAAGCATATGTAACAAATTAACTCATGACGCTGAATACCATATCATTTTATTCTAATCGGGGCCCGCACGAACAAGCACCCTAATTTTATATTCGACGGGCCCAGTTGTTTTTGGTGGTCTAATGTTATGCCACTGTACTTGCTGGAGACCGGACTCACGAATCGGCGACCTTCCCTCCTCCCCCAGCGATAACTTTCACGCTCGCATACTTAGAGCACTTGCTCCCTTTCATCCCCGAGGTCGCCTCGTTTCCCATAACTTAACAATGCCCGGAGTGATTAAGAGTAAAGGGCCTCGGTGGGAATTAGTTACTGCTTTCATTGCAGTCATATTGGTGTTTCCAAAGAACAGAACTATATTTTCTTTTAATTTAGAGAACACCACCATGGTCGCCGTGACGTCATGTGAAAACCCTGGGATTTTTCTTTAGTGGAACCTCTATTTAACGAACCTCTATATAACGAAGTCCTCGATATAACGAACGATTTTCCTGGCCCCAGTAAAAGTAAAATATATGGAAAAGAACTTCAGTACAATGAATCTCGTCATAGCGAACATATTTTGCCAGTTCTGTACGGGTCCGCAAATGATCCCAGGACCGCAAATGATCCCGGACCGCAAATGATCCCCAAATTGAACCGTAAATGATCCCGGACCGGAAATGATCCCCATATTGGACCGCAAATGATCCCGATCAAAAAAGAAGGAATGGCATGGATTTATATCAGAGGAAGGTGAGAACATGTACAAAAATAATGAACTAAAAAACATATTTT